GGTCAACTTTGTTGCAAAGGATTGCCTGGGAGAAGAAGTGGTGGTTTAAACTACCAGTACTTCCTAAAGTTGTGCCCGTTAACGAGCCACAATTTAGGAAACGTACGGGCCACTACAGGACTGTCCAAATTCATCCGAGTAGAAACGTTTCTACTCTTTTTTTTTTTTCTGCGGTCGATAGCTGGGCCAAGTACAGGTGGTTTAAACTTTAAACCGAAGAAAGAAAGGAGAAAAGAACAATTATACAGATCACTGAGACCGGTGAACAGAAGAAAGAAGCAGCACACAGTTCAGACTCGTACCTCTGTCGTGACCAAATTCCTACACACATGTACTTGAAATAAGCGAATCTGAGTTCAAATCCTGATGAATCCAATAAATTTAGCGGCTACTCCACAATAATAACATTAACAAAAAACCTGCGAACATAGCACGAGAAGTTTGAAAACAAAATATGTAGCAAATAATAATAACAAATAGAATATAATGACAATGATAATAAAACATGCAGCTTCAGAGTCTCTGAGATGATGGAGATTGAGGAGGGATGGGTAGTACTCCAATCTTGGATTTTCAGAAATGCACCCAGGAGTTTGACTAAGTTTGATTGCATGGTTGACATCTGTCACATTTTATTGACCTGCAGGTTCTGCAGACAGTGTGCTTGGAAATGTGGAAGCTGTCACACGCTCCGTCGTCCATGGAGCCAGTGCTCAGGAGCTTGGTGTTTCTCCTGCTGGTCCTTCACAAGGACCCCTGGATAGGGTGCAGCGTGGGACCATTGAGCAGAGTGCAGGGCAGAATGAGGGAGAAGGAGGCGGCGTTTGCCCTTTGGCGAATAATGCTGCTCAGGGCAAGCTGTCGAACTCCAAAGGAGGCAAGCCAGCAGCCCTCCATAGCACTGTTTCAACAGAGGCCAATATCGGATATGGCACGTTCAAAGATGGTGCCATAGCAGGCAGAGGATCTAAGGAAGACGACCGCCTACCCTCCTTGGAGGAAGAGAAAGAACATTGCGGCTCGGGCCTGCCTACGGTCATCAGTTCTGGGGCAATGGGGCCTCAGGTTCTTGCGCATATGGAACTTAAGGGCGGTACTTGCAGGCCTGGTGCTGCCGAGGCTCAGTCAACGGATGAGGATCAAGATCGTGCCGTTGGTCGCCGGGCAGATACAAGTCAGGGTATCCCTGCCAGTTGTCATGTGCCTGATAGTGACTGTCTGTTCGGTGAACTTCTGAGTGTGATGGAAGAAGAAATGGCAATGGCAGCAGGGTCGAGCAGGCTTGGCCAACCCGCCATGACGCACACACTTGCAGACGAAGAGGAAGAGACACCTCTGCGGAGGGATGGTAACCGTGGCCCAAGCAGACCCTCCTCCACAGCAACCTTTCGCCACGAAGTGGAGGCAGGGGAGCAGAACCACACAACTGTGGAACAGGACAACCGTACGGTCGATCCGCTGGAAATGCAGCCGCCTGACGGAGGACATGCGAAACAGAGTGCCGATGAAGCAGGAAACCGCTCAGCAGGAGGTTGTAACAATGGAGGCGCTTTGTCCGACTTCGCTGTTGCGAGCTTGCACATACGGCAGGAGGCAGGGTTATCCCGGCGGGAAGCTGTGAGAGGTGGGAGTGTTGTCCTTGCAGGTGCCAGCGGGACATCCACAGGGGCGTCTACAGGTGTTAGCGGGTCTGGCCCATCGTTTTCGTCAACTGTGCGAGCAAGCACACTCAGGAAAATCTACTCAGGTGACCCAGATGCCCACGGTCAAGTACTGGTAGGTGGAATTGGTGCGATATCGAGGAAGGGAGGGGTTACCAGTGTGCCGATATCCTTATTAGCAAGGAAGGGTGGTGTTTCAGGTTCTGCCGCCCTCAGGAGGCCGCCTCTCGACAAACTTGGAGGTATCTCTCTCGGGAAGATTGGCACTCATGTACCAGATATCGGACGGTCGTTGGGTGAGAGAGTGGCGATGGATGGCAAGCAGCCGCCTCTGCAGAGTACACGGGCCGGTGAGCTAGCGAGCAGGCCGAGCATGGAAAACGAAAAGAAGGATGGTGATGAGAATGCGACAAACAACACTGCCATCTTGCCAGATGTCTCCCGTGCAGCTGTTTCCAGAGAGTCTGCATCAATCAGCAACAGTTTTTTAACGCCATCGCCATCGATCGGAGGAATTGGTCAACTGAGCAACAATGTTCATAAGGCACCTGTGTGTCGGTTGCCGCCACCAAAGCGCTCAAAATTATCGTCTGCAGCAGGGCGGGGAGGACGAGGGGTGACCTTGCAGATGGAGCACTTCTTCACCCGGACATCTCAATGTTAAGATTGTTTTGAATATGTCAGCAAAGTACTATTGTGTTGAAACTTTGGAACTAATTTGATCATGTTTGTGTATACAAAGAGCCTGTCACAGTTGTAATTCTTTTACATTTTTTCTTTAATGGCCAAGTATGATCAGCATTCTTTTCTGATAGTTACGAATCTTGGCGTTCGGCCAAAGTAGCCACAGAACTGCAACTGTTTTGGGGAAAAAAAGCTGAAAAAAAGGTTAAAAACCCTGCAAAACTGCAAGGCAAAAGTGCACTTCCATCCAAATTTCCGCAACAGTTAGAAATTTCAGAAATGTCAGCAGAGGAATTTCCAATGCTTTGAAAGCCAGACTCGAACCCCTGTTCATCATCATGTAACAGTTGTGCTCAACCATGTATGATAGTCTCAAATGGTAACAAAGTATGACATGCCAGATTGGGAGATCAACAAAACAACCTATGGTCAATGTCGTTAGGCAATCCATTCATAATTAAGACCGGACGTACAATAATCATGGACTAAATCCTTTGGATGATGAAGGCAGTGTCTGTAATCCTTATCATGGTGTGTACAGCCGTGCTTCGGTCAACGCCCGCCGGTGTCCGTGCGCAAGGCTGCAGGGTTTTGAACCCCCAACTTCAAGCCACAATGTGCGTTTTCAATCGATGTTCTATCCACTGAGCTAATCGGTTGTACACTTTGTGCGTGTGGTATTCCTCATTTTCTAGGTAAGCTGCTTCTCTCGAACCCTGGCATCGACACCTGCTGTGGCTACCACTCTCTCCCACTTGATCTCTGGCAGTCTCACTCTTTACTATTTATCTACCTTATTGACTCCCAAGAGCAATCTAAGAAGTGCAAGGAAAAATAAATAAAGGAGTCGGACATGATGAATCCTTTGAGTGTTGATTCGGCCAAGCCTACCTTTGGTTGGATCTGTGGACAACTGAGGTTTCATGATTTATGGCTAGTGTATGGCTTGACTCGGGAAGTTTGTGGAAACTACTGCTAAGCCTTTGGATTCCGTGGGATGTGTGGTTGTAGCTGACTCCTAAGAAATGTTTGACGTTAAATTTTTTACAATGCAGGGCTTGAGTGCTGATTTTCTTAGGGCATAGTATGCATAAGCACGAAATATAAACTTAACCCAAAAAATGCAGCAATTGAACTAACTCCTATAGCTCCAGCACATGGTGAGCATCTAAAGCACCTACCTATCTCAATTGATACTCAGACTAAGTAGAACTCACACTCAATCACGTATGAGTCTATACCATAATAGGTAAGTACTCTCACCAGAATCCCAAGTTGTTTTCTCATAACTAGTTGGTTGAACCCTCAGGTGATAAATTTTTTACTTATAAATTTTGGAAAGTCACTTTCGCTAAGGGAAGTGTTGCCCAAATTTTTGCAAATCCAATGAGTTAAATTTTATCTTTGCAAATTTCAACGTTTGTCTGAGCTTCAGATCTGGCATAGTAGAAATCTGGGAAGCCTACTTCTCTAGGGGAAGCCCAAACTTGTACTAAATCGGAGAGTTAGACAAAATTTAACTTTGTAAGGTCAGAGTTTTTTTTTAGATTTTGTATTTAGCTTTGTACAAATTTTGGAAAGACACTTTTCCTTTTTTTTTTTTTTTTTTTTTAAGGACAAATGCTCTTGTCTATTCGTGGGGAGCAGCATGTGCTGGGAACTGGGCCCATCGTCCCATATAGAGTTACACAAGTCATTTGAGATACCAGGGTCATTGCCTGGCATCGACTGATAATCAATCTGAGAACTATTGAAGAAATTCAAGAGAATTAAAGGAGAGGTTAAAAAACTATGAACGACTACTGACCTCTTTTCGAATGCTAATAACCCCTAGACTCCCAAACAAAACTCTTTAAAATTGTCCAACAGTCTTATTCCCTGTCGAGCTCTCCCAGGCCCCACATCCCCACCCGACTAGGTTATAGAGCAACACGACTCACCCCAGCTCCGGCCAGCGTTGTCCCAACAGCTACCCTTGGTTGTCCCTTGGAATGCCCACCCCAAAGCATCCTCAAATCTCTCTACCAGACCTTACGCTCCTGCAATCAGCAGGTTACAGGGCAACACCCCAGCACCGGCCAGCGTCGTTCTGGCATCGAACAATCGCAGGTCCATGAATTTATCGGTATCAAACAACCTAAAGTGAGTTGCTAGAAGTTCCAGAATCCTAAAACATTTTTTTTTAATACCAAAATCGATGTTATTTGAGGTAAATTTGGGAGACTATCCACCAACCAAAATCCCAGCAATTGTCTTCAAACACTCTAAAGCGCCAGAGGGTCCTAACACCCTCGAAGTCCTCGAACACTGTCTATTCCCTACCAAGCTCTACCAAGCCTCTCACCCCCGTTATAGGTTACAGGGCAAAGCAACTCACCCCGGCTCCGGCCAGCATCGTCTTCGATAGGAACTCTTGATTGTCCCGTGAAATGCCCCTCCTAGCCATTCCCAGATCTCTTTACCAGGCCTTAAGCTCCTGCTGTCAACAAGTTACAGGGTCAACACCCCAGCACCGGCCAGTGTCATTCTGGCATCGAAGAACCGCAAGTCCATGAATAAAACAACGTCAAAATTTGCCTCAAGGAAATTGCAAGGAGTCCCAAGAGCCTGAAAGCGTTCTACCACAACCACCAAGAACAATCACAAGCTCAAGAGGGTAACCATATCCGAACATATCGTCCGTTGGTTTTAATTTTCTTTTTATACAAAATAGGATATGAATGACATACAACAAAATTGAAAGTAAAAAATGTGAACCAAAACAACCGATTTGCAAATTTCCCACGCAACAATTGGAGAAAACAAAGTCCCCGTGACCAGTCCTCGAACCGAAACGCGGTTGGTCTCATAACTCCTTATGCTAGAGTTACGGGGCACCACCATGCCCTGGTACCGACCAGCCTGGTATAGACGGCAAGGAGTGCCGTCCTCCCTCGAGAACTCCTATTAGCTGCACACCCCTAGGTGACAGGGATAAAACCCCAGCAACGGTTGCGTCGAACGTGGTGATTCTCCCTTCCTCCCTCCACAAAGCTCCCCAAGCCTCACGCTCCCCCAGGTTACAGAGCAACGCTCCAGCACCGGTTTGCGTTGTCCCAACCACGTTCTTCTGACCTACCGACGAAGACTAAGGCCGTTCCCCTGTTACACCCCCCTACAAACTTCCCACCCATCCGTGTGAATAATCTGCTTCCCTTAATCAAATGTTTTTTGGCTACCTGCTAAAAAAATTTAAAATATAAAACCTAGGTGGCAATTTGCAGAGCAGTCAAAGAAACTATAACAACCCTACTTAGGCTTGCCAACGCAATGATACTCTCTTCCTGAGTTTGCTCAGCCTCACACCCCCACCCCTAGGTTACAAGGCAACACAACTCACCCCAACTCTGACCGACATCCTCCAAGCAGCAACCCTTGATTATTATGTGAGATGCCCACCCCTAAGCATTCCCAAATCTCTCTACCAGGCCTCATGCTCTTGCTTCACAGGTTACAAGGCAACACCCCAACACCGACCAGCGTCGTTCTGCCATCGAAAAAACGCAGATCCACAATTATAACAATAACAGACACATCTAAGAAGATTTGCCAACAATCTCCAATGAGAGAAGCAGAATCAACAATGTAACAAAGGTCATTAGATTAGGCAAAATTCATCACGAATCATGTACCAAATTTCTACAATATATAAAACTTACTAAAAAGTTAGTTAAAATTTTGTCTTGGCAAGACTCAAGTTTTATCTTAAGTTCATATCTGACTCAGTGTAAATCTGGGAAACTTACCTTTCTAAAGGAGGTCTGCCCAAATTTTTACAAGGTCAGAAAGTTAGACAAAATTTAACTTTGTGAAGTCAAGGATCGCTCAGATTTCACATCCAACTGAGTATAAATTATGGAAAGACATTTTCTTCAGAGAGAGTGTTCTAAAAAATTTTCTTCAATTTGAGGAGTTTGATTATATTTTGACAGTAAAAGTTTTGGCGATCCACCCTGTATAGAGGAGATGCTTCCAGGAATTTTATGATTCTCTTTAACACTCACTTGAAGGTAGGTTTATATTTAGTCTTGGAAGACATTTGAGTGACATGTAATATGGGGCTCTATTCTCCATACACTCATAGTTTAGTCTTTTGGGAATTGAGCTCTGTTGTGTAACAAGTTTTTTTTAATCATTTCGAATCAAGATCTGACTAGTTTCAGCCTGATCCTACGAGGATCATGTTCTGTTATTTTTTGGTAAAATGTTGGTTGTCGACCTGTCGGGTCCCGACTCAACTCGAACAGATTATCGCTACTCAACCTAAAGGCCTGAGCCCCTGTGGGTTGGATTGTTTCTTTGGGTTTTTACCCAGACTTTTATTAAATGGCAATTCAAAAATTTATAGATTTTTTTTTTTTTTTTTTTTTTTTTTTTTTTTTTTTTTTAGAGTCCAAGATGTTGTAGAGGCCAGTCACTGAGTGCACAGTGATCACTTGGAGCTATGAGCCACGGGTGTCCAGGAATATGAGACCCCATCCTCACGTCAATACTCCTAGCACACCCCCTATCCCACTATCTTACCTCAGTGTGACCAGCACTCAGGACCATTGCCCTCCCATTGGGTAGTCAACTTGGACCGAACAACAGTGATAGGCACCGGAGCTGATAAGTTGACCAACCCTGGTGGAAGCGGAAGCGGATGAACCTTATCGAACGGTGTCAGGACAGAAATGTCTGTGAGGGTTTCTGCCCGAGTTTTTCAAGGGCAGACACTGCCCGACCCTTGCTTGGGTTGAAAGACTTGATGAGATTGGCGTGCCAAAGGTTATTCAGACCAACGCTATAACTGAAAGACCTGAAGCCTGATGTCGTTGACATAAAACGTCGTTGATGTGAGACGACGTCGACATCCGCTTAAGACAGCAGGAGTCAGCACTGTCATCCACAGTTCTCGACGAGGCCGCAGTAGTGTGCAGTCGTGGAAAAACTAAAGTTAGACCTAGTCTACCTAAAATAACAGCCGCGCGATTCAGGGCCTAAGTGAGATAAGAAGAGGTGTGCGCCGGGTATAAAGCCACGACGCAGGGGAAAAGGAAGGAGAGTTTAATTCTAGGGCCGCGGGGCTTGACGTCGAGCCACGGGGGTGATAGGCCGATGCCAATGTCACGCGGCCAACCGAGCGTGCAGGGCCGTGAGTTGGCGGGGCCGGCAGGGCCGCAGGCAGGCCGGGCCTGTAGGGTTATGGGCAGGCAGGGCCTGCAAGGCCGCGGAACGGAGGGACAGTGGCTGGGCCAAGCTCTTCTTATAGGAGAGTTGCTCCTATCACTGTCGTGATAGGAGCTAGCCCAGTAGGTTACCACACCAAACTCTCACCCAGCAGATACCAAGAACGAATCTGACATGCCAGCCTACTGGGGAA